TTCGAATATGATTGAAAATCGTAGTTACAAAAATAATGTGATCAAATATAATTATAATTGTCCACTAGGTGATCGACCCGCATCGTGTGCGGATATAATTTTATTTTTGCTAATTACGTTAACATTGGTATTTAGTTGAAAACCATCTCCATATTTTTCTTTTTGGAAACACAAGTTTTCACGTGAATATTACTTTAAAAGTATGTGATCCTCTTAAAATAAACCAACCCATAATACATAGCATATAAATGATAATGATGTACACAAATCATGTGAAAAACTACTAAGGCATCACTTTTTAAGATTTTCTTTCGTGGTTGTAGTTAGACAGTTCTTTTTTTACTAAGTTACTCTCGATTTGTTTTATCAATCTTTGTTGTCTTTGCTTTGACCATGTAGATTATGAAGTAGCTATTGTCTCATAATCTTCTCCATGAAACGTGTGATGTTGCAGTCGTCAAGAACCAAGAAGATAAACTTTATAGAATTCAACCCAGTGGAAACGCAAAAACATTGAATTATAAAACAAAGATGACATATTACATAGAGGAACCATCAAACAATCAAACAAACGAGATTTAAAAGCAATCAAATAAAATGAGTTTGAGACATCAGTATATAATATATCTTTGGGCCATTGAACCATTGAGTAATATATCTTTCAGCGATTCACTATACTTGTTTAGATTTATGTTTGTGAAATCTGGAAAAAAAAACAAATTAAAAAAAATGTAAATTAAGGAAAAATCTAAACATAGTTTGCAGTAGGTTACATATTCATCAAGCTCCCAACCACACAAAAAGCTTGCTCCATCGATTATGATATTTATAATNAATCATCGAGTTCATTAAGGGTGGATCTCTAAACGGACGTCACTGCATATTTTAAATTAAACATTAAAGTATATATAAAAAATCCATAATAAATTTCTTAGAAGTATATATTACTTACAGTGCATCTCGTAGTAAAACATCCACCTTTGTGCTTGTGGTCTTCTTTCCCTGGGGTTTCAGGTTTTCGATAGGTCCAACATTGAGTATTTGAGCAACAACATCTGCATTGTGATTATAAATGTCACATTAAATATAAATAATCAAAGTAGGAGTTAATAAAT